AAAAAAAAAAAAAAAAGAATCCTCAGATTGCAATTACGTTAGCTCGTTTGTGTTTCATTGGGGCCCTTTGGCACTTGCTCGTTCTTGTCACCTGGTGGCAGTATCTGAACACTACCACTTATTTCCTCCTGGGCAAAACAGAACACGTCGCAACACGATCAGTGTTATAACTAATTAAGATATCCTGCCAAGATCTCCTGCTCTCTAAGGCTTTCTCCCAGGAAAATGCCCTCTATGGAGCATCAGGGTTTAAAGTCTCAGCTCTATGAAGCTATCGCCAGCCACTGAGGCATGAGCTCCATTCCGGGCCAGGGAGCTGATACCTACATGGCACAGCAAGCCTCCTCTCTCTCACACACTGATCCCCTCAGCAGTGTATTTCAGTAAATCTGCTGGATCTGCTCCCAGTAGATCTGCCAGTTCTTCTCTCAACTCTGTCTCTGGAGACTCTTCTCACCCCACTCCCCCTACCTCTGGCCTGCACAACGATTCTTGTTTGCATAAGTAAAAATAAACCGTTTTCTTTAAAAAAAAAATCATCTATTTCAGAAGAAAATACTATCGAATCAATTTACAAATGTGAAAATTACACACAGTTTATGAGAAGACACATTCTTTTGTGGGTCTGCTACTTCTAAGCGGCCTGTTTGGCCACCATTTTGTTACTTGCAGCGCTGGTTCCTATACAAGGTGAGAACTGCCTGGTCACTCAGCCATAGCTAAACCTTACAAGGTGCCGTTTAAATCAACCAAGAGCAGAAAGCTGGGTCACCCTGGCCAGGCTATGCATCATGAGGTATGACACTGAACTCCCAGGGGCTGATAACAGATGAATGACAAGGGACTCCAGAAGCTGAACAGTGTGCGCCTTGGATAAGATTGAAACCCTGGCTGGGGATCGAGGGTATGACCTCAATTACAATATCACGTCATCAAGCAGATGAGCAGCATCTGCAGGCAGACTGACAGCCCCTGGTACTCTAGATGACCACGCACACCGCCTAGTTTCACCTTCCCTTTTCTCCTGTACTCCTCCCCTTCCGACTGATGCTGTACCATTGTTCTATCAATAAAAGGCCAGGATCTTGCTCTTCAGCATGACCCTGCATCCCGCAGCCTGATCCACGACTCCTGTTTGTCCGCGCGGTGTTGCCAATGCAATGATGTTTAAGAAGTGAGTTAACATTAAATAACCTTCCAACAATTCAGTACAAGTAGCACTTTTCACAACTAACCCTACTCTTTTCTAATTTCCTCTCTAAAAAATTACAGTTAGTAATCCTTACTAAAATTACTCATTTTTCTTACTGGAAACAAAAGTAAAATATATTTTAAATGTTTTCTGGGAAAGAAGAACCCTTTACAGGCATTGTATTTTAGTTACACAACTGCACAGGTAGGCAAAAAACTATATAATTTCTTTGGTCACTATTTTCTTCCTAGAGCCTAACTATTTGTCTAGAATGAATGAATGAACAGTAGTCTTTTATTTGCTATCTGATGATTCACTTCTTTTGTATTGAGGGTCTTTCATAGTTCCACATGAATTTCAGTTGTTTTTGCACCCCAGTTCTTTGAAATATGCCATTGATAGTTTTATTGGGGTTGTGTTACATCTATATTGCCTTGGGTAAGATGACCATTTTGACAATGTTGATTCTTCCAATCCATGAACAGGAACTATTTTTCCATTTCTTTGTGTCTTCTGTTTCTTTCAGCATTGTCTGTTTTCCTTGTATAGAACTGTTACCTCCTTTGTTAGATTTACTCCTATGCATTTCATTTTTGGGGGTGAGGTGTCTATTTCCTTAATTTCTTCCTTCTCTATCTCATTGTGTATAGAAAGGCAACTATTCATGTGTGTTAATTTATACCCTGCCACTTTGCTAAATTGATTATTTTCATGGAATTAGTTTTCATGGAATATTGAGAGTGGGTTCTCTATATGTATTACCCTGCAAATAATGATAACATCTTTCCCAAATTAGATGCCTTCTATTTTCTCTTGTAATTACTCTAGCTATAGTTTACAATGCTATGTTGAATAACAATAGTGAGAGTGGACATCCTCATCTTGTACCAGATCTTAAAGAAAAAGCTCTTAGGTTTATACCATTGAGAATTCTGGCTACAGGTTTGTAATAAATGGCTTTTATTATGTTAGACATGTTTTGATAGTCCCTGATTGGGGGGGGTTATCTTAAGTGGATAGTTTCATTACTATGTGGAATCTATAAAACTCAAACAAAAGATCAGACAAAGATAAACTCTAAGACTGGCTTTTGAAAGCAGGTAGGAAATCCTAGATGTTCAAGGGGAAGGTGAGTGAGAAGGGCAGAGACAGGGAGAATAGAAAGAAATGGAGGAGAAAGTGCTGGAATATGGAGGACTGTGAGAACTTTGGTAGTAGAAACTATGGAGAAATCCTATATAGTGAAAAAATAAACAAAATGTTTAAAAAATTGATTACAAGAAAGAAAATATGCTATTTGGGTCAGACACATTCCACACTCAGGGCTAAGCATGTAATACTATTTGTAAGTATAGTTTTAAACATTTTTTTTTAAAAAAAGATTTATTTATTTATTCATACAGAACTGGGGTGCAGGCCAGAGGCTCAGGGGCGGCGAGAGGCTTCACCAGAGACAGAGTGGAGAGCAGAGCAGGGAGATCTACGAAGTACACTGCTGAGGGGAGCAGCGGGTGGGTCAGGAGAGGTCTGCCGCCCCATGTGGTCACCTCCGGGGTAGGCGGGAATCGAACTCATGGGCAAGTGGCTTTAGCTTCTCAGTGCTGTGCTTTAACCCGCTGCGCCACCAGGGAGGGCCCAGTTTTAAACATTTTAATTGACTACTAGTATTTTATTTTAAAATGTTCAGGATTTTTGTTATAATTCATCAAGATAGATTGTTATACATTTCATGAAATTAGGGCCCTCCTTTAGTGGCACAATGGGTTAACACAGTACTATGAAGCTACTGGCAGCCATTGCCACATGAGCTTGATCCCTGCCCCAGAGGTGATCCACCTGGTGTTGCAGACCTCTCCTGACCTGCCTGCTGCTCCCCTCAGCAGTGTACTTCATCAACCTGCCTGTTCTGATCCCTACTGTGTCTGGGGCAAAGCCTCTCACCACCCTGGCACTTCTGGTCTGTACCCCAGTTCTGTATGCATAAACAAATAAATTTTTAAAAATTCCATAAAATTAGACTTTATGATAACAAAAGAACTACACAAGTTTAATAACTATTAAATTGTTGATGATTTATGACAGCTTACTGTGACCTTTATATCATAAACATTTTAAGTACTGACAATGATCAGCAATCATTAATATGTAGCATTTATATATGTACTATATTAATATATAGTCATAGAGTTGTAGCATTAATATGAATTTAAAGTTAGAAATGTATAGATAAAATCAAAACAAATGAGTACAAATCAAAAACATCAGAAATCAGAAAATCATAATGATTTGATAACATTAATATTGAAGTTACTGAGTTCAACAAATTAGAAATGTTGATTTTTAATTCATAGCCATTTCTGCAAGTATTTGAGAAAAGATCTTAAGAAAGTCTTCCAAAATCTTTAGCATTAGCTTCCTTACACCAGGTATTTTCATTAATTTTTTCCATATCATTAAAGATGAAGAACCTGGAAAATATACAAGATAATAATTTATAAATTTATGCCCATTGTCAAAATGTTTGATTTCAACAAAAATTCTTTATCTTTTACATTCACATAATATATATTCATTACATCATAATTATGAACATAAAGTTTTTAATTTGGAAATTAATCAGCTCTTCATAACTGGTGTAATTCCTTTATGCCTTTCTTCTCTTGCACTCTTCCTTTATGACTTTATGATTTTCTATAGTGGTATGCTTAAAATCTTTTCTCTTTATCATTTGTATCGACATGGGCTTCTATTTTGTGATTACTACACAACTTACATGAGAAATTTTACATTTCTAGCACTCTATTCTAGGTTGATAATAAATTATAATGCATCTATTTTTTATACTTCCCCTCTACATTCTATATTTTTGATGTCAGAATTAATAATTTTTCCTTGCTTACCCAGTAACATCACTATTATTATTATTTTTAGTAATTTTATCATTTATAAGTGAATAATCCACCATTATTACATCATAGATTATTTTGAATTTAACTATTTCCATATACTTTCCTGTAACCCTTTTGTGTTTCAAGTTAAAGAATTTCTTTTAACTTCTTTTGTAATGCTAGTTTAGTGATTCTCATCTCCACTGGGTAAAATATTCTTGGTTCATAGTTTTGTTCCTTTACACACTTTGAATTTATTATGTCATTCCTTAATAGCCCATATTAAGTCCTGGAAGTCTGTTAGTATGAATAATTCATAATGATAGAATATGAGATGTTTGGGTTTTCTTGTTACTCAAACCAATGTAAATATGACTTCAAAAACACATGTACCTATGAATTTCTACATTTTTAATATTTCAATTAAATTTTGTTTTGAAAAATACAAACAATATAGTTATGGGTTAAATTTAGTTCACTACATAAGAGCGCATCTGGAAAACTGTGATGAGTGGTCTAATTGCAGTTAATTATGGAGTCTTTCCATTTTTCACTCTACAAGAAAATCCTACAGTTGTACCAGAATACTTCTTCATTGACTAACTTCATGGAGGGAATTAGCAAATTGAATGATTTAAGTCCATTTGTTAGTTTGCCAATACTCATGGCAGGTTTTATTTTAGGATATGAACTAGAAGGAAAAAGAAAGAATACTACAATGACAACAATAACTACAAAAAAGAATAGATTTGAGTCTGCAAATGAAAAAAGTGGACTTAAGTTACACGATGGCTCCCTGGATCAATGAGGACCCATAAACAATGTAGACTATGAATGGAAGAATCCAAATGTATAGAGTGGATACCCATATGAAATGATTATTTTCTGCCAGAGCATGTGTTGTAATGCTCTGTAACTTCTTCCTTTATCGATTCAACATGATATTGATTTTCTTTAAGGCATTGTTTATATGACTCTTACCTGTAGCACTATCCACTTTACAAAGAAGATTTAGAGCAAACAGTACTGTGTTTTGTAAGTTAGTGAAGTCACTGATGAAGGGTGCCTGATCCCCACTAGCAAGCATACGATCCGGCAGTCCTTGCTGGAATTCATGTGTCCTAGTTAGCGTGGTTGGGAATCGCATTTCATTTAAATATTGCAAAAGCAAAAGCCAATTTCTTTCAAAATATCTCTCTGGCTTAGAATAACACTGAATCCTAAAAGGCAAATGGAAATGTATGATAATAACTAAACCATTGAGGATTTCAGCCTGTTTTGTGGAAAAGATTAATTTCTGCCAACCAACTAATTTTTTTGTTTGTTAAGAGTCTATATTTTGGAGTAGGATGGCTTAGAATGTGATGGCTAGCTCCTAACTTTGAAGATATGAATATAGTTAATGAAACTTAATTTTGAAAAGATCTAGCAATTGCTTATATTTTCTTCTGTGTTTCGCTCTCTCTTTTTTAAAGATTTATTTATTAATTGATGCATACAAGAATTGGGGTACAGGCTAAAAGTACCAGGGATGAGAGGATTCACCAGAGACTGAGTGGGGAGCAGAACAGGCAGATCTAGGGAAACACACTACTGAGGGGAGCAGCGGTGAAATAGGAGAGGTATGCTGAGCCATGCCTGTCACCTCCCTGGCTGGGGATTGAACTCATGCTCCTGTGGTTGGCAATAGCTTCAACCCCTTGCACCACCAGGGAGACCCCCTGAGTTTCCTTTTAACCAGGCAGCTTACACATCTAACAGATATTAATTAGATCATGATTAAATAATACTCTTCAGAAGTATGTAAATAAAGGTCAAAGATTCCAAGGCAAAATTTTTGCTGAATTCATACATCTTTTAAAACACAGTGATTTCCTAAAGTTTGAGGCCCCCAAATTTGAGCATGCTAGAGAAATGGACTTCATGTCTGATTTTCTGAGCACAATGCTTTTATTTTCTACTGCTGGAAGTCTGTTGGAAGACAAATTATCTTAACATTTTAGTAAATATTAAATTAACATAACAAAATAGTTCACAGCTCATCTCCCAATCCACTCTAATCATGCTATATAGCAAAGTTTTTTAAAAGTTGAAATGTTGTTTACTAGGTGCTGAAATGTTACTCAGTGTTGTGTTCCCTAGATACCTTCTCTTTTAAATCTCATCATTGATAACAAAGTTTTCTAGTTTATCTGAGGTGGAATTGACTATTTCTTTCACCTTGATGTTCCCATAGCACCAAATTACTTACATTTAAAGTTTGTTTTGCAGTACATTTTCATTTAAAATAATTAGATTATATTTTAATTCCTCTGCTTTCACAGCATATTTGCAAGAAAATCCTTGCATCATGTTCTGTTTGTCAGTGATAAGCAATTCCTACCATAACACAAAGGTGAAACATTGCTGCATTTGGCTGTAACATTCCTGGGTTCCTTTTTTATATCCAATATTCAGAAACAGAAGAGTACAGGCAGTGGACCCTCATGAGACAAGAGGCTGGCTTGGATTTACAAGTGACTGCCATCCTTAGTCTCATCATAGCTGACAATTGAACAAGGCTAAAGGGGAACATGAATTCATAAAGCTTTTAGACCCTACTAACAGTGGATTAAACAGATTGCAAGAGAGTTGGCAACTGTAGAAGAGGAAAGAGGTGAGAACACCAGCTCAAGAAACAAAGGATTTATAAGCTGAAGTGAAATGTAATGATTCAATGGAATGTTTTTAGACAAGTCACTTATTAGTCAGAGAAGATGTAGCCAAGTAAAAATTTAATGCCTGAAATTGCTTATTTTTATTTAAAACATGTCGACAGACAGATAGATATATGTGTCAGTCCATCTTTGGTTGGAGGGTCACAGAGTTTTACTTAAGTATATGTAGGCTGCAAAAAATTCAGTGTTGTCTCATGTTAATAACTGCTAGGATATTTTTTACCTGAAGCATATCACTCATGAGATTATAAAGACGTTCCCAGGTTGCAGGAAATTGCAAACATGGTCCAAATTCCTCTACATTCTCTATGTGCTTTTTTTGACATGTAATTTTCCAATACCCCTTCCCTCAACCGTGGGGAGAGGGGATGAGGAGAGAAGTATAAATTTTTGCCTCTGAATTACCCATATGGTTAGATTCGGCCAATTGGATATTGGTCAACTTCACACAAAATAAATTTGAAATACAGTTTCAGAATTGGGTTTCTCTCTCTTGACATTCTGCCTTCACTATGGAAAACATCCAAGCTTGCATGATGGAAAGTGAGATACCAGTGGAGCAAGTGAAGCTTCCCACTCAGACATTTGGGACCAATCAAAGCAGTCAGCAGAAGGTCAGCCCAGGAAAGAGTAGCATTGCTGCCTGTCTATACCTCAGATGTGTGAGCAACACGTGCTTTCTGTGGTGTGACACTGAGCACTAATGGTTGTCAGTTGTGTTACATTCTTGTGAGAAAAACTGGATTGTGAGAAATACAGGGTCACACAACTAATAAACTATTAAACTAGAACTTTAGGCCCTGATGATATGGCTTAAAGGCTCATGAACTTGAGCCTTTGCTCCCTCTTGTTATGATGATAATAGTTACTTCTTACTGAATGCTTCCCATATGCCAGTGATATGTTCAACATGATATATATGAGTTTTCCAATAGACTTTCAAAATTGCCCTATGTAGAACGTACATACTATAAGTTTAAAAATGAGAAAATTGAATTGCTCATTATTTGGATCCTCAAGTGGAATCAGATCAGTCTGATTTCAAAATACAGGCTCTTTATCCCTATACTTCTTACCCACAGATAACCTTCAATAACCTAAACATTCTAAATGAATTCTTAGAATTGAACAAAACATAGGACATGTAGACAAGCATTTCAAAATTCCCATCTTAATAATTCTTAAGGGATTCACTTTCCTTCAACATAAAGTGTCAGAAGAATTCTAGTTGGCTAGGTTTCTGTTTTCAGTTTCCAATGAAATGAATGTGTAACTTCCATTATTAAATTCAATTAATAGTGGATCTCTCTATAAATGACCTGCAATACATATAGATGAAGCCAAAATAAAGCTATTGAAAGAACCAACAGAAGCAATCTTCATTAAATATAAAAAGGGAATTGTCTCAAAGAAATGACAAAATTTTGAATTAAAGTGTGAATTTTAATACTACCTGAAAAATCCCCATTAAAATAATTGCAGTGAGGAAAAACTCATAACTTATGGTAGAAACAAAATTGGCAGATGGAAATCAAGTAAAACAAATTCTAAAAATATTCAATATAGTCATACAATTAATTCCTAGCAATCAAACATGGCAGAAAGGAAATAATAGCAATGTAATCTATGGTATAGTTCTTAATTAAGACTAACTTATGCCCTCTGGGTAAAACAAAGTTGCTAAAATCAGAGTGATTATGTTGAAGGTGTGATATATAAATTTTCCCTCCCACACATCACACA